TTTTTCAAACAGTGAAGTCGGAAATGCTTTCAAGAAACGAATCAACTGTTGCTGCCTGCGATCTTTGTTGTTAAACTATTTTTTGAAGCTCTAAAGTGTAACAGTTTCTTTTATATTTATTTAGGATTTAAGTTAAAATATTTGATGTAGAAATATGTTGAAAATCTACATTGTGCTGTGAGATGGTTTAATTCGTCTGGGACAAGGAAGCAGGTCAGGGATGATCAGGAGATGAATGGAGCTTTAAAAAAAGGTGATACAGACCTGGAAGAAAAGTTCTAACCTGACACCGCCAGATGGATTTGCTCCACATATCCATCTGGAAACCTTCCGTTGAAGTAATTTTGGGAAGGGGCGAAAATACTGGTTAGCTGATTGGCCTATGTTGGTGATAGACGGGCCAAATAAACCAATCAGATCAACGAAGCATATGACGTACTAACAGAGCGACAATGAAGAGGAGCCAATTGATAGATCAAACTCTTGCCGAAACCAGTCGGGAGAAGAGCAAAAACATCTTTTCCTCTGAGAAAAGCCTCCAGAGCAGTGTTTTGTTCTTCTTTCAGTGAAGAAATACTCTGTAATTCCGATAAAACTTGCTCGATAGCCACGCTAACGCTAGTTTCATCGGCTGAAGCCGCCATGTTCTTTAGACTGAACTGTCGCGCTTCTCGTTGCGTCACACCTCAACCCGCCTCAAAGCCAACGCTGATTGGACGTTCGTTTGGTGAACGGCTCCAAATTTTCTTTAACGGAGAGTCTCCAGACTGATTAGCGAGTGAAACCTTGAAAGCTCGCGAGATCAGGATGGTCTCACCAGGCTAGAAAAGCTCTACCTTCCTGCAGGATCAAGTGTGAGTCAGCTCTATGATCAAGAGTCGGAACGGTCCAGTCAAAGTCTCGATGACATCTGGATTCAGATTATTTTCTGAAATGTGTAAATTGAAGTTCTCTGTCCAATCGGACTGAGTGTGATTAATGGATAAAAACTTCTGACCTCCATAGAAAAGCTTTTAAAGGAAAAGTTTCGTCATATTCAGAATTCAAACTTCTGAAAGTTCTTTAAATCTGAAATGATTCCATCCTGTTCAATAAATGATCAGTGTTTTTAATTCAGAGTAATTTTCATGTGAATGTGCTTTACTGGAGGCATCCATGTTTGTCAAAGAACACTACTGCCACCTACTGGTTAGTGACATTGTCACGGTGCGGTATCGGCTGTTGATCAAGTCCCAGTGCTGTATCTGGTGTTTGTCACAACGCGCTATTATCCAAGTCATCTTGAAAACATTCTTCTTCCAAATGTTGGCTACATATTACGGGTTTTTTCTCTGGCCAGAAGTTCGATGGCAAATCCTCCCTCTTCAAGTTGGCGATCCAACGACCAACCCGTCCGTGGAGGATCAGGAATCAGAAAGGTGGAATAACTCTTTTTTTCACTTTTACCCGATGTATTCCAGCATCCAGCTGCCATGCACGTGGGCATTGTCAGTTTCACTATAGCTCTGGTGAATTTCAATGGTGAAGTCCTCTGGAAATCTTCAATAATTGTTGTTGATTGCAGATGTGTCTAGTAGTTCCCATTGATTTAGCTTGGAAAGCGGGGAGAATGGCGCTAGGCTTACCGCACCGTGACGTCTCCCAGACTCAGTGATCGCAGCAAAAATCATTTTTATTCTTTTACTGATTAATGCTAAATTCATTAAACCACTGCGAATGTATTAGTTTTAGGTATAAATAATAATCAATTGATTATTTAGTGCTAACTGGACTTACCTTTAATAAACATAAATCCAGATCCAAGACATTTACAGTATTTATAGATCAGTGCTTCTATCTTCCTCTTGTTCGTTGCTTTTCCCTCCAACTGGCCTCAGCTGAAGGCCGCTAACCCAGAGCGCTACTTCCGGTTGTTTCTGGAGGTTTCCTCTCCACTGTCGCTGCATGCTAAGTGTGAGAGATTGCTTTAGAGTCGAGGATAAAATGAAAGCAACTATCTGCTGTCTCTACCTGCTCATCCAGGAGGAGTGAATCCTGCACATTTAAAGCAATCAGCTGGTTTTCCTTAGAATAAAAACTCTGAACCAACCGACCGGATGGTTTGATTGAAGCGAGACTGAAGATAGCAGGAGCTCTAGAAATAAAATGAAGGAGCCACACTTTTCAGATTTTTCTTATTGAAACTTTTCTCTGTTATTCCACTGTGTTAAAATAAACCCCAGTTAAACGTCTGTTTGATGTGATTAAAAAGGTGAAAAAGTTGAAGGTTTATGGATCATTTACACTGCAAAAAATTTAAATCTCAATAAGTCTTTTTTTTTTTTAAATGAGTGCATTTTTTTTCTTGAATTAAGGAGGTAAGTGAAACACTTTGCCAATGGAAAAAGACAATTTAAATAAGAAAAAACAACTGCATCGTCTGATTTCAAATGCACATTATCTAATTATTTTATTTTTATTAGACATTTTGCCAATGGAGCAAGATAATTTACTTTCGAAATAAGAGAGTTTTATTTTGAGTAGATAATATCTATCTTATTTTAAGAGAAAAAATACTCGTTCTATTGGCAAATTATCTTATTTATCTGCTCAAATTAAAGGAATAGTACACCCAAAACATGATTAGCCTT